CATTGTAAATTGACAGTCATCACACCCAGCTAGCTGGGTTGTGGCAGATAACGTGACATGACGGGTGTAGAGCACGTGACCTGCTCCTTTCCCGTCACTCCCCAACATTACTGGAATAAGCCCCGTCCTCCTCGGCTCTGGAACTTGCACGAATCTCTGCACGTCCCCATCTGCCTGTACTCCTGCAGCTCATTTCCGCTCATTTTCTGCTGACTCTGGACTTTTATTCTTCTTTCCTTTTTGTCATCTCCTCTTCCACCCCAAGAACGCATCCAGGGTATTCTACTGTGCCCAAACCCCCACGTCCCCTTGCCATCGTCCTCCCCGGCCACTGAACCCAGCAGTGTGTGCTTTGGGAGGGGCATGAGAGACACAGCAGCCTCCCTGTCCTTCCCCAGCCTGGCATGCAATGGACATGGTCCCTGTGGTGCCCAGGGGACCCCCTCCCCGCCCTGCCTCCCCCAGCCCCGCGGGCAGGTACTACCTGCAGCCGCACTCTGCCACGCTCATCCCCTCATAGTGGTACTTGAGGGTGGGCACCCCCATGTCGTCCTTGTAGAGGACGGAGATGGGGCTCAGTTTGGTGGGCACGCAGCAGGCCTTGCCCACCTTCGTGGGGAACTTGAGGTGTACCAGGGTCTGCACAATGGCGTGCTTTGTGGGTGTCACGTCGTCTGCCAGGGGAAAGAAGCAGCTGCCTTTGCACTCGTAGGCATCGTACTCCTTGGGCGCAATGATCCAGCTGTCCCAGCCAATGTCCTCGAAATTCACCCGCAGGGATGTCTTCTGACAGTGGCTGCTGGCTCCTATGCTCCTCTTCCGTCTGGCCAAAGACGACCCTGTGGCCACGCGGCCGTCCACGTCCTCCCCCGGGCTGTTGCTCCCCGCTGCCTCTGCCGAGCCATTTGCGGACAGCTTTGTGAGCATGCTCTCCTGCTCGTGGCCGATCATCTCCCTGAGCTCCAGCCTGGTCTCCCTGGTCCCGTTGCTGCGGTCGTTGGAGAAGACGACGAAGAAGGGCAGGTTTTTGGAGCCTGGGGGTACGCTGATGTCCAGCTTGCCGCAGCCCTTCCTGTGGCTCTCCACCGTCACTTCCAGCTTGTTCTTGCTCCTGCTGGAGTCCACCCTGACCCACCGCTTCACAGCTCTGGACACCTCCAAGGTCTCCCAGCCCTCGTCCCGAATGTCCTGGGACACCAGGAAGGTCTTGGTTCCCACAGCACCGTCCCAGGCATCTGCTCCGTCTAGCACGTCATAAATGATCATGTTTCCTTTCAGCCCAAGAGAGGAGTCCATGTGATTTTGACAGGAGACGTAGAGTCGGAGCTCGGCCCTGGTGATCTGCTCGTGTCTGGGAATGGAGAGGTTGAAGAGCAAGATGTGTTTCTGGAAGGGGAAGTCTTCTGTGGCAGGTACGGAGATGACATCTGCAATGCAAACACATGGGGATGGTCATCACCGGGAGGGTCCATTTTCATGACACCAAAGCTGAGTCTCATATTCTGAATGAAAGGGCATCAGGTTTCTGTCTCACTTATCTCTGTTTGATTTCACTTAAGCTAAGAAAGAAGAGTATTTTGAAAGGTACATTCAGGACCTTCCAAAGAAAGGCAGAGGCAGGAGAGGCCTCCAGCTGGGGTGACAGTTCCTCCTGTTCATTAAGCATCTATTGCATGCCAGGAATTACACTAGGAGCTTTGCAAAATATATTTTACTTTAATCCTCACACTCACCCTGGGTGGATCTAATTATTACTCCACGTATACAGATGTGGAGACCAGGATTCAGGGCATTTAATTGCCAAAGTGCACGCAGCAAGTGACTATCCTCGCATAAAGAAAACAAAAGCAAAAGTGCACTTTCTGCCTTAGTGTGAAGATTCTGAGTGTATGAATTTAAAAGACGGATCCTAGGAGGAAACAGTGAAAGTCTAATATTAAGACAATTTAACAAATCTCAGTATCTAAACAGTGTAGAAATCATTTGGAATGGTAACTTCCAAGCAAAGTGAAAGTGATTGATTTTTTCAGGGTTTGAGGAAAAAGAAATATTAGCCTCAGTTGCTGTCATGTCAGGCAAACATGGGACTTGTCTTTTAGCCACACAATTGTCTCAGTTTCCCACTTGTCCTGGGCTGACACTTGGCCTTTAGCACATTTCGACTCTACCATGAGGGAAGGAAAGATGCATTTTTTGAGCACCTACTATGTGCCACCATGAGTGGAGACCTTGTGCTGTCCCCAAATCCGGGAGCCAGGTCTGGTGCCAGTTCTGACTCTGCCCCACACTAGGTTTATTACCTTGGAAAGTCCAGAGTCTCTCTATGCCTCAGTTTCCTCATCTGTAAAATGGGGCTCATCCTACCAGCCTCCTGGAGTTGGTGTGAGGCTTGGACAGGTGGCACACGGAACTTACCAGATACAGTCCCTGACTCACAGCAGATGCTCCATCAGTATTTCTGTGTCCACCCCCCAGACCCTCTTGTGCACGCCCCTGCATGCAACAAAGCACATGGCCTTTCCCTCAGGCTCTCTGTGGTGCCCTCACCCAGCCCTGACTCACAGCAGATGCTCCATCAGTATTTCTGTGTCCACCCCCCAGACCCTCTTGTGCATGCCCCTGCATGCAACAAAGCACATGGCCTTTCCCTCAGGCTCTCTGTGGTGCCCTCACCCAGTGTGGATATGCCATTCTAGCTCCTGGAAAATGTGCCAAGCTGCCATGGCATATTTGAACAGTGTGAACCGTGTGCTCTTGACCCGAGGTGCTCTTCCTGAGGCATGCCTTGATGGTGGCTGTGGGAATGCAGTCAGGTGTCTGAAGAACAACCACCCTCCCTTCCTGAGCTGCACCCATGGGAGTACTGGGATTGGATCAAGGTTTCCTAGGACACACATGCTGCTGTGGAGTGTGTGGGGCTGTCATTGAGAGCGCTGCAAATACTGGACTCCCAGGCCTGCCTGGCACAGACCTGCCCCATGTGCTGATGACCTGCAGCTTAAATTTTTTCAAAAAATGAAGCCAGGGTCTTAAGAACCAGGCAAGTTCACATAAAACCCAGATTTTCCTTCTTCTTTTGGATAATCAGAAAATGTGGCATTGCTGGACATGCATGGTGCCTGCAGCATTGCTCTGTGGGCCGGGCAGGTCTGGCCTGGCTGAGGTGTGGAGCTGGGCCCCTTAGGCATTTGTGGGTCTCAGAGGCAGGAGGGAGAGGCCCTGTGCTCCTGGCGGTTCAGCGGGTGACTGCAGGCACAGGAAAAGCCGGTGCTGCGCAGATAGGGGGGCCTGGGTGAGAATCCAGTTGCCAAAAACTTACTACGTGACCTGAGCACATTCCCTTAGTGGCTACAAGCTTTGACATCGCTGTTCGGAGACTCATCCTGTCTGTGTTGTGTGACAGTGAGTGAGTTAGTGGACATAGGCCGTGAGTCGATGTTTGTTATCTTCTAGTCCTCTATGTCAGGGGCATATGTGTTGCAGAAATAATCAGATGCTCCTCCAATACTGCTCTCATCAGAGGATTTTATGTGAGTTTTAAAATCCTTTTCATAAAAGAGAAATAGACATTCTCTCAAAGTTTAAAAATATACTAGTTAGTTGGGGGCAAACTAAGTTGTCTGTTTCTAGGTAGGAAGGGAAGAGGGGGTGTGGGGGTGGGAAGGGACAGAAGGGAGCTGGCATCCCCAGGCACCCACTGTGTTCAATGTGGCCCGGGGCCCGGGGACAGACACTCCCCCAGAGCAGAGCTGTCCAGGAGAACTTTCTGTGATGATGGGATGTTCTGTGATCTGCACTGTCCTCTAAGGAGCCCTTAGCCACACATGGCAGCTGAGTACTTGAAATGAAGCTGGTGAAACTAAAGAACTACGTTTTCATTTTATTTCATTGTAATTAACTTAAAGGGAAACTTGACAAGCCTCATGTGGCTGGTGGCCACCGCATTGGGCATTGCAGCTGAGGACTTACAGGTCCCACCCCAGGGCGCCCTGGTGCAAGCCGACTCTACCTTCCACGCTGAAGCTCCGCACGATGTTGGAGGCCGGGGTGGACGACTTGTCACTGGTGTACCTGTTGTACAGGTCGATCATGTACTGAGGTGGCTCCACTCTGGTTTTGTCCTGGGAAGGGACCCCGCTCAGGTTGAGGTTGCGCAGGAAATCCACCTTCATGTTCTCCAGGAACATCTTCAGGTCGAAGGTCCCCTCCTGCAGCTCTCCTTGGGGCTCCCCCAGCGAGCCGTGGACGTTTCCCCCAGCAGACGCCCACCCCCAGCTCTGCAGCGGCTTCCCCTGTGCAGAGCAGGCCAGCAGGGACAGCAGCAGTGAGGCCACCCACAGCGCCCCGGGGCACATCTTGGGCCGGCGCTCTTGCCCTGGAGAGGAGACTGCAGGTCTGTGGTTGTTTAGTGGGCACAGGGAGGGGCACAGGGAGGAGCCCGGGAGGAGAGGGCCCGCATCATCCTGCTGACCACGGCAGGGAGCTCCCTGGCTGGTGCACTAGCTCCCACCCCCGTCCCCGGACTGTCCCACTTGCTTATCTGGCCCTTGATGCTGCACTCCGACCTCTTATCGGAGGGAGCTCTCCGTTAATGAAGGCTCTATAAACATCTGACAAACACACAGGGTTTGTGGGAAGGACACCGCCTGCTGTAAGGAACCCACGTTCCTCTGGGGGGTTATTGCCCCCTAATTAGGATCCCTTTTCACTTCCTTGTGAGCTCCGTTGGGAAGAATCTCCAGACGGGGTGACATATGCTCCATCTCCAAGGCCATGGGAACAAAGAGCTATGGAAACAACAGAAACCAAGACCCCAAAGTCCCTCTAAATATAGAAATGACAACGCAGAACACCCAGAAAACCACAGCAAACTGCGGGGGCAAGGAGGGACGGATGTGGGGTGGGGACCGCATTGGCGGTAGTATAGCACCCGCTCCTGGTGGAGTCAGAGCCTGCCACCATCTTTCAAATGAGCTGCTGAGCATCGGAGATCATGTGTGAATGTGGCATGTGTAACTGAGGGCGGTGATGAGAACTTCCGAGTCAGAGCAGACAAGGGTTCAAATCCCAGCTCCCTCACTTATCCCCAGAAGTGTGGCCTAGAGCAAGTCTCTTGGGGTCTTTGAGCCTCCATTCAGAAGACAGTTGTAAGGATTTAAGAAGATGATGTGCTTAAACATCTCAGTAATCACTGCAAGCCAGCGAGTTGGGTAACTGCATCCTGGCTGCCTCCCCTCAGCCCCTGGGTCTGCCTGAGCTGTAGCTGGCCTGTCCTGCAGGAACACCACAAACACACTGTGGCCTGCCAGCCCTAGAGCCCAGCTCTGTCACTGGTCTGAGACGGGGTCTTGGCTCATGTCAACTGGGTGTCCTCCTGGGCCATATCTCTCAGCTGGGAGAACCGTGCAATCTGGACAGACAGAGGAACAGGTGGGAAGTTCTGAGACTAGTGTCTGCCCACGAGACAGCTCCTGGTCCGAGCAGGCTGACAAGCTGTGGCCCAGGTTGTGGTCTGCAAGGCCCCAGGGACTGTGTTATTTTAAGAGCAGTGTGCCCACACCTAGACTCTGTCCATTTGTACCATGAGTGACTTTAACCGAAGCAAAAAATGAGCACAGTTAATACTTGGGGGGTGTGTGGTGGTCTGCTATGGGCAGGATTTGAACATGACGTAGTTCCACGCTGGCAGGGCTCCTGGGGACAGCTGCAGAGAGCTGAGCCAGTTCAGGGAGATGCAGGAGGGGCCATGGCAGACTGTGGTCAGAGATCCCAGAGGGGTAATCATGAGCCCCTGAGTGTCCAGGCCCAGAGAAAACTTGCTGTCCCATCCTTTGGGGACACAGTCAAAGGAGAATGGGAAGGGTGCTGCTTCAGAAATGCTGCTTGGGGTGGTGGCAGGAAGCATGCTGGGCAGTGGTCCAGCTCACTGCAAGAATTTCACAGGGCAGGGAAAAGCAGAGTGCCGAGCCTGGGAGATGGAGCTGCGACTGAGGAGCAGGATGCAGGTGGGAGGAGTTGGGGAACGAGGCAGGAAATCCCCATAGTGCTCCAGCCCCTGGAGGACACTTAGGAAAGACACTCCAGAGGGTGAGTAAAGGGACAGCACAGGGTGGCCCGGATGTGCGCAGGAGGTGCATGGGGCTGCTGGCTGATGCTATTTTTAAGATTTTTTTTGTGATTGTAACGGTTGTACTTAGTGTAGAATATTTGGGAAATGCAAAAGAAGGAAATAAAAATAATCTACAAT